TAGCAACCCACTAACTGTGACATCTGAACTTCAGCTGGTTTCGCCGTCCCTGTTCGCCGTCATGGCAACCCACTACAACTGAACTTCACTCATAGCAACATCTGAATCTCAGCTGGTTCGCCGTCATGGCAACCCACTAACTATGACATCTGAAGCTTCACTGTGGCATCTGAACTTCAGTCGCCGGCAACCCACTAACTGTTACATCTGAACTTCAGCTGGGTTCGCCGAACTTCAGCTGGTTCGCCGTCATAGATCCTCATAAGGAATGAAAAGAAAATAGTGAAGTGCGATTGAGCCATTTTAAGGGCAGGGTTTAGAAATTAGGATTTTCAAAGTGGATTTACTGTTATTGAGACTCTTCAGAACTTCCGGATGTCGATCTAATATTTTTGGTAAGCCCCGAAGGTTCATTGATAGTTCTCAACCATTAATGTCAATTATTCAGCATTCATTTGGTGATCGGTTAATTCCGATGACTTCTGTATTTATGCTAAATGCACACGCACGAGTCTTCCTTGCCTGAGGCAATTATTACGGAAGGATTCACTTCAGAAGACCGAAAATACATACATGTCAGTTCTATAGACCTCATCATCGCTTCCGTCACATGCTTCTTTACGGCCCATTGATAATCTTCTGAGTTTGCTTTCTTATTCAACTGACAAGTTCAATTTGTCAAATTGACCGATTTCTATTGAATTTGAATAAACAATGGCAGTCAATAACTTCTCATGAAATATTCGTGCGTTACGTGCTTCTTCCGATTGCGGTTCCGTCTACTCAATATTGTCCAACTCTTACATCGTTCTGCCGGAATGCGTTGTCAAAGATAAAGATGGGCTGAACAGTTCTTCCTTTTAAATGTTCTTTTCCAATAAATTACAATAACATTCAAACCTACCCCAGGGATTCAATCAATGTAGCACTAGATGGCGGGATGGAGGACTTTGTTCCTGGCTGTAGGTGAAGCACTGCCATGCAGATGTTCAAGTCGTTTGTCAACACGACTCCATGACAACAGGACGTGTCTGCAAATACATGCTCGCACCGCATATATTACACCATTGCCTTGTAGCCTATCGATAGTTCCACCATCTCGTCAATAAGGGAACAACAGGGTGCTTGGACGTTAGACATCGTTTGGTGTAACAGGTCTCACTCCGGGAGGGGTTCTGAATGGGTACAGTTTCAAACTTGCCTTCCAGAACTTGCCTGATCTTTGCCTTTGTGCTCTTATGTCTTCATGTCAAAACGTTTTATTTTTAGTCTTTTATTCAGATAGTTGACAACTACAAAATAGATTCTTTCCAGACTTTGATAGATTTTAATTGTAAATTATCAAGTCTATTAATGCGTAATCGCATTTGGAAACATTGTGTTGTTTTTCATTTGGAAATAATATGACCAAAGGTTTGGATAGATTGTAACAGCTTTGAAATCAAAGGGTATTTCTTGTTTCTTTGGAACTTGCCCCACGTCTAATTCAAGTGTAAAGGTTGCTTTGACATTCTTTTCTTTCACAAAAATACTCTCCACGGACAGGTAGAAAACCAGACACAGTACAATTACACATGATGATTGTGGGGCGAAGTTGGGGAGGTACTTGGGTCCTTACAATCGTTCATCTAACTGCAAAGTTAGAATGCAATTTGAAGTTTTTTTAATCACCAGGGTAAAATTCTACATTGCCGATCAGACCATGGAAAAACTTCAGGGCATATGATGATTATTCATGGAAAAAGTCAATGTTCAGTTTTTGCAGTTTCCTTTGCTCGTGCTAAATTGAAGGGCATCTGGTGAAGATATTCTGCTACAAGGAACTGAATGTCAGAATACTACCTGGTTGATATTGAATAATGTGTTCAGCCAGCACATGTTCTTTGTCAATATCAGCCGTATGTATAGTTCCGCCTCTTAGACGAGCACATGTGTTATTTGGGGGCATAATTAGTCGCATGGATTCCGCTAAACAATAGAATTAACAATAGAGTGGGGGATAATTTTAATGAATATGCATCATTTGTGTATAGTAGTTTATATATGAAGCAATGCTTTGTGTTGTTCAATTGCACCTGAGTGATCATGACGCATATCAGTTCTGGTTAGGACATGGGAAGACAAAGATCAACAGAGCCCTATGAGAATGCTATTTGGCCCAGGTTAATGTGTCATCTCACGCCGGTCTACAATCAACGGGATATTGAATGAGGTAATTAATTCCGGGCAGATGTTGTGACCGATTATTAGTCCTTTCAACTTATCGGAACTATAGCATGGGACTAATGAGGCAGGAACGCCTCGCGGTTCAGCGGAGTGGGGATATATACAGGAGATTGCTGCTGCCCTTCTCTACCAATCAATTGTGATCTTGGTGCGTAGGAAATTGTCATTTGCTAAGCGCTAACTGATGTCATTTCACGAGTCGACTACGCTCATCTTAGCCACATTACGGAATTATTTCAGCGCGGCCGGTTTCCTCTACATGGGCAGACAGATACTTTCTAATGAAGGAAGTTTGATATCGAGTTCACAAATCATTAGTTTGAGGTCCATGTAATGCCTTGAATTGCTTTCCATATCAGTGATAATGCTGGACAGCTATTTCAATATGAAAACTGTATATCAGTCATCTTGACCTAAACTTACCCTTGCATGTTGCACAGTGCTGCAGTCTGTTATACAACTGTTGTGTGGTGGCTACTTGAGCGTATGGTAGGCTGGACCAGACAAACCAATGGTCGACAGTGTGAGCAATATATCACAAGAGGACAGAGTAAGGCAGGTTATGCATTGATCCTAATTTTGGTGAGCCCTAAGGTACGTATTGGACATCTGATCTGTGATGTCCCCTCATCTCCACTGGGGAAATGAACTGAGAACATATGTGACAGTTTGGATGCTATATCTGGTTTCTGCAAGTGGCTGGACCATTGCTTGGTTCATCTGGTGTTATGCCTCTCTCTGACCCCTTGTCCTTCATCTCTTCATAGGGTTGTCAGTATAATGGAGACATCCTGGTAACTCAAAGACACTAAGGCCCACAGTGAATGCCTCTGACTAAGGCACTATACTAGGGTCAGTCTTGTGTTTTGCTGTCGATTCTGGGCCAGAATTTGATCGATTATCCCGACAAAAGCCTTTTAACAATCCACAATGATAAAACACAACATTGTTTTAGTCGGATAGATCACATGCATCTGTCGATTTCGGAGCCATCTCTTATCACGGAATCTAACACGTGGGGCCTGCTAACCGACCAGTATGTTCTCCTACCACCCTTCAAATTCTTTAGTTTTAACTATTTTATAGGGCACTCAAAATTATGAGACGAAAGGAAGTAGTCAAAAGCACTATATACAAATGCACCCAGTGTTTGTAACTCCGACATACTATATAGTTCTGTACAGATAGTCCAAGTCAAGTTTTAACTCCAACCTTACAATCCGAGTGTGGAACGCAGAGATATTTAACTGACCAGTTAGGACAGTACGTGAAATCCTCGTAGTCGAACCTATTTACACCTGCCAACATTTATTTAAAGGACGATAGATCCTATAACGTTAAAATATGATTGTTTTAACAGTCTTCATGTCCTAATGCTCTATGCTGAAGTGTGGGGAGGCTGTGGGAGTTGCTCGAGTGAAGAACGTGGAACATAATCACTTGCATGTGTGTTATCTCGCTCCCACGACTTAAGAAATGCATGTTCAGGGATAAGTGCACACTTGTTATATAGGTCTCGCTAGGGTACATATATCAATCACTTCAAAATGTCTTTCCAATGCTGATGGGCCCATAATGAGCATACATATCCGTGCTGAAGACCAGTTTATTTTTATTGTACATCTGATCGTTTCTTTCAAAGAAAAGCTACTAAATCACAATTAATGTTCAGTTAAAAGAATAGCATATATATCGAGTTGTTAATTCCAGATGAATTTATCATCATGTCACCGTTGCAGATGACTTAATTCGTTCGACTTTGGTTTTGGACTTGACAGGGTTTATTTTGCATAACTGTTCAATGTAAATGATAGGGGAAAATATATATTCCGTCACTGAATGGTTGATAACAAACAATTCAATCAGGTAATGTAAGGTCAGACATAGTTTATATGGGATGTTAATAGTCATAAAATATATCGCCGCGTTCCATTTACTGCGAGGAACGGACACATTACAGCCTCGTCTAGAAAAGACAAATTCGAAAATCTGGTTAATCTGCCTTTATATCCATGTGCTGATGTATTGGTTTCGAGTTGCTATATCAAGTTAAAGGGCAAACTTAAAAGTGCGGCTTAATAGTTGTTTATTACGAAATAGCTGGCGGTGACAGTTTTGTCTGAAGCGTCTTTTCAGAAAAATCATCGTGTACGCGGATTTGTGAAGTGTCACGCAACATAGGGAATATGTTGAATGTTACTTCAATATCAAACAGCTTTTGGAAACTTGCCAAGCACAGGCGAGGCACAGCCCGTTTATTTGTGTCGATGATTTACAACTTTGTCTAATATGGAACATTTTAAGAGAATATTCACAATCCGCATTTCTCAAGACAGGTTAAGAGTGTGTTTCATGGTGAACAATACATTCAAAGTGGCATACAGAGGGGGCAAAACGTTCGGATGACTTATATGACCAGCGTCGGACTTGCTTCAGAACACAGGGGGCAAGTTGCCTCTAACATTAACCTGTCACGGCTCGTTACTCATGGGGTATTAATCTCAGCTGAGCCCCCAACAGAAACATTCTTGAACAGTAGTCACACAATGCACGAAATGTTAATACAGGTATTGATGAGGTCACATGAAGCTTTGATGATTTTGTAAAAAAATGAAATATTCAACTCACAGTTGCAAAAAGTAGCTAATCGAAACGAATATCCTTAACCATTTCCAGACAGGTTTAAAAAAGGTACCGCAGCAGAGAAAAAACCATTTGTAAGATGTATACGGATCCTCTTATCGATTACGTTTAAACACTGGCACCAAACTTACCTTGATTCAGTTGGAACTGTCACTCGGCAACCTGAACCTTGTGTGGTGTGATAAGCACGTGTAGTTGCAGTATTCCTGACACCTGTACACCGAGGGGTAGATCCACCAGCACTTCCAGAACTGGGCACAAGGTTCACAGTAACGCTCTGTGAGAATCCGACGCTCACTGCACGTACGGCACCTCGGTAAACACAACACTGAACCCACCGATAGATTCGGCACAGCAGTGGTTGACGAGTGATTGGCAGTTACGGTTCATGCATCACTAGCCACGCCCCTTGCTATAACCGATGCAACAACCGCGTGGTGGGGTGACAGAGTAGCATACAACAACGGCGTCTACAAGCAGGGAATGCCACTGCAACTGTAGGCGTCGCGGCCACAACTGTTGCAGTGTAATGCTCTCAAGCGGCCCGCTACAAATGTTCCTGGACCGTGTGCGACTGACTGTGTTGCCAGGCGTTGCTGTTGCTGTGGACTCGGGAGCCAGGGAGGTCGCTAGTTAGCGTAAAAAGGAGCTCAGGTTGTTCATGGGTCATGAAAGATGACAATCTTAATCAATAAATTGGTAAAACTGCACACAATGAAGTTTTCTTGTCAGCGGGCTTACAGTGGCGAGGACAAAGAAACCCCATCGTGGGGAGGGCGTTGTGAATAGGGCGAGGTAGACAAGGGTGGAGAAACGGACATGAGACAGCTGGTATCAGTTTGACAACAATTGATTTCAAATTTCTGTTAACTGCCAAGAAATGGAGCCCGGGGTTACAATGATGTTGAGTATTAAATATTTGCAGTTTTAACTGATCCGTTGAGAAACGGGTTGTCTGAAGCTGGGGCGTGGCTCCGCCAAACGTCACGTCGTAATTACATTGTACAATTGTCAAATGTGTTTGGTGTTGCAGGAATCGATAACATGGGAATGCCGATGTTTACAGACGAAATAATCCTCACCGTCCAGCCTGTATTGACGTCTCTAACGCGAGGCATAACGAACCAACATGTGTTTGTTTGAGGAAGAAGAATTTCATTATGAGATGGCTGAGACTTTGGTTGAATTGCCTTACCGAGATTATTCAGTCTGGATGGCTTTATTCCTTATAGGAGAGGTCACATGTACAGTTTGGGACGATTCATTCAACGCCGAGTAAACGAAAAGAAGCCATGCAGGTCGAGTGGTCTGTTATCACCTCAAACAAACGAGGTTTTAAGCCCAGTTGTCATGTATCTCATTGTGTTATTCTTGGAGCACTGCCAGATATCACATTGCACTTTGCACGCTCCCGGCATACAGCGCGATCACAACTGATCACCATGGTTTTATATTTATGGACGATCATATTCCACGCAAAATATTCATTTTGAAACGATTATGACAGTGTTACTTCTTAGTTAGTCCACCGTAGACATATAAGTTAGTGGCAAAGAGACATGTAAATAATGATAAGACCCAAGCATGACAAAGATGAAACAAAACATCCATTATATTCAGTCAATGACTGGCCAGGTAAGTATGAGGCCTTACAAACAACCAGTTGTTACCTGTTCCCAACACGTGTACATTGCCTTCCTCTTTCCCTTCCACAGAAGTTCTGCCGAACTCAAACTTCTGAGTAAGATTGTCCCCCAAAATGTTTTTTCAAATAGTTCTTCGGGCATCTACTTTCGAACTATTTTTTCCTGGTTTTGCCAATACTGGGTAGACGCAAACAAGATGCCTTAGGAGTTCCATGTTAATCTCGACGACATAATTCATCAGGAGTTGCACGCGTTGTTATCAAAATGAAATGATAGACTCGATCAAAGAACGACTTGTGATCGCCCAAAACACGGGTTCGAAGTCGTACACCACTACGTCCGAAAGAGCACCTTGTTCTTGCCTGACAATATGACGTCTACAGTGCTGAATCAATAAGCGGTAAAGCGCCTTCTGCTCTCGACAAGGAAACGATAATGCTTCACCGATGTCTCTGTAAGAGCGCCTTCTGTTCTTCTGACAATATGACGTCTACAGTACTACACTTATAAGTTTACAAGAGCGCCTTCTGCTCGCCTCCAAATCTAACGTTGACAGTACCACACCAAAGTGTCTATATGTTTGTCGTCTGATCGTGTGACAATATGACGTCGAAAGAACTGCACCAGTCAATCCGTGAGAACATCTTCTGATCGTCTGACAGCTACGGTACTACACAGATCTATGACCACCTTCTGATCGTCTGACAGTCTGATAGCTACAGTACTACACAGATCTATGACCACCTTCTGGTCGTCTGACAGTCTGAACTGCTACCAGATATATAGTCTGACAGTCTGACAGTGAGTACTACACATATCTATAAGACCACCTTCTCGACAGCTACAGTACTCCGACTGCTCGTCTGACAGTCTGATAGCTACAGTACTACACAGATCTATAAGACCACCTTCTGATCGTCTGACAGCTACAGTACTACACAGATCTATAAGACCACCTTCTGATCGTCTGACAGCAGCACAGTACTACACAGACTACACAGATCTATAAGACCACCTTCTGATCGTCGTGACAGCTACAGTACTACACATATCTATAAGACCACCTTCTGATCGTCTGACAGCTACAGTTACTACACAGATCAGTGATCGTCTGATAAGCTACAGTACACACAGATCTATAAGACCACCTTCTGATCGTCTGACAGCTACAGTACTACACATATCTATAAGACCACCTTCTGCTCGTCTGACAGCTACAGTACTACACATATCTATAAGACCACCTTCTGCTCGTCTGACAGCTACAGTACTACACATATCTATAAGACCACCTTCTGCTCGTCTGACAGCTACAGTACTACACAGATCTATAAGACCACCTTCTGATCGTCTGACAGCTACAGTACTACACATATCTATAAGACCACCTTCTGATCGTCTGACAGCTACAGTACTACACATATCTATAAGACAACCTTCTGCTCGTCTGACAGTCTGACAGCTACAGTACTACACATATCTATAAGACCACCTTCTGCTCGTCTGACAGTCTGACAGCTACAGTACTACACATATCTATAAGAACACCTTCTGCTCGTCTGACAGTCTGACAGCTACAGTACTACACAGATCTATAAGACCACCTTCTGATCGTCTGACAGCTACAGTACTACACATATCTATAAGACCACCTTCTGCTCGTCTGACAGCTACAGTACTACACAGATCTATAAGACCACCTTCTGATCGTCTGACAGTCTGACAGCTACAGTACTACACATATCTATAAGACCACCTTCTGCTCGTCTGACAGCTACAGTACTACACATATCTATAAGACCACCTTCTGCTCGTCTGACAGTCAGACATCTATAGTGCTACACAGATCTATAAGACGATCTACTGCTCGTCTGACAATATCATGGCGTCAGTTCAATAAGTCGACAAGAGCACCTGTTCGTTTTACAATATGACATCTTCGATAGTACACAAGTCTAAAAGAGCACCTTCTGCTCGTCTCACAATATATTGTTGACAGTAGCACGCCAATATTTCTGTAAGAGCGCATTCTGTCCGTTTGATAATATGACGACGACAGTACTGTACCAATATGTCTGTGAGAATTCCTTATGCTCGTCTCCCAATATGATGTCAACAGTATTACGCAAAAATGACTGTGAGAGCGCTTTGTGCCCGCCTGACAATATGACGTTGATAGAACTGCACCAGTATGTGTGTAAGGGCTTCTCCTGCTGGTCTGATGATGTAACATCGGCAGTACTACACAAACACGTATGCGAGAACGCGTGTTCATGGAGTCGATGGTTAAGTCTGATTAATTACTGCAGTTTGTTATATGATGCTTCCAGTGTGAAATATTGATGACATTGTTCATTTGAAAGACAATTGATGAGGTTGGGATGAGGTTTCATAGAATAACAATACTTGACTAATATTGGACCGTGGATGATTCAGCTCGAGTTTCAAAATACATGAAACATTATCTGGGTTCTGAGTGCAGGCCGTCTCTCGGGGTCCGCCATTAGCGACAAAGATGGATTTCGATTTAAGGTGACTTTTTTAGCAGCTAGGTAGGATTAATCTAAGGACAAATATGAACAATTCCTGTAGCTCATGAGTCCCTTTGGTCGCTGGCTGCAGATGATTGAGTAGGATTTACTGCAACCAACTGAAATTGTAGACGAGGGCGTGAGTATCACGTAATGTAACTTTAGATATATAACCCATGGTGCGTCAACTTCAGGATCATGCTTCTAAGTTTGTCAGCCGGCTTCGTAGGTTTCTCCAAAGCTGTACATGTCTGAGACACTCATTGCTGCTTCCACATTAGGTTGGAACGCCGTGATAGAAGTGGAACACGGTTCAAAGAGGCGTCAATCAGCTCACCCGCTAGTGTCAGAGAAAGGTCATGGCGACTTCGTTGTAGGCATTGACCACATTGGTAAAACACATCCGCGGGTAGGGCGCCAACAGACCCATTCCGCTTTACTGAAATCTTTGAATTCCAATCAAAGTCTGGTGGAGCCTGGTCTGCGATGGTACTTTACACACCCATCTGTGGTGCCGCTCGGAATCTCAAGACGAAATATTGGCTCACTGTAACTTACTTTAAAGACACATTTGTTGTTGAAGACTTATATTTGTAGAAGTATTAACACATGATCGCACGTATTGTTTCCACTTGTTCAAGGTGTTTGTAACCCATATGCCAACACTCAATATGTCCAGGCGTGATAATGACTGACCTACAGCAGTCAGCTGCTGTCAACTGGGAATGTGTAGAAAAAGATAACTTGCTGGTTTTGCAACACGCTCCATAATATTCTCAGAGGAGAGTTTTATTCCTTGTCTTTGGACACTTACATATCTGCCCAGCCTCGAACATCCAACGTCCGCCAGCTGTAAGCAGTGAATGTTCTATTGATTTGTCATCACTTCCAGAAACACTCCAAACAACCAAATATTAACGGAAGGGAAAATATATTGCGTATGCATGTAGACATGTCGGCGTGCACAGTATATATAGTTGTGAACTAAAACTCATGCTTACATTAGCGAAGGTGAAGGATCGCCTTGGTCATTCAATAAGCAATCCTTCAACCTAGAAAATTCAATTAATAAGAGATGTGTTCAGCACTTGGCATTTATGAAGAAAATAGACCCTTGAAACACTTTTCCATTATACAGATGTGTGACAGTGGCCATGCATCACCATCACAGGCCCCCGACACCCGGTGTCATACAAGTCAAGGTAGGGCATGTACCGTCAAACGAAGGTACTAGTTATATGGGAATTAGAAAGCCCGGCGTATTCTCCCGCCATTTAATGTACCATAAATACCAGATGGTTTAGCGATCAAAGCACATAACTGTCGCGTCCCGACTCGTCGCCATAGTTATTTG